AGCAAGTAGTCGCAGACGATACTCCTTTACAACGCCAAGTAATATGCAAAAGCATTTGGGTGAGCTGCTACGATAAACCTGACACCTGGCAACGGTGCTTGCTGTCGAATGTTGGTTCACTGGCGTCGCAAGTACGTTAGTTCGAGCAATGCCGGCAGCATGTATGAGCAGCCATCAGTACAAACAGCACACGATGTTCACTGATAGCCACAACATGCATTTGAAATGGATGAGAAGGGTGCAGTGGTGTGGTTCGTGGTAGACGCGGAAGGATGGACATATTAGGTATTTCAGTTATTTCTGGAGATCGGAACTCAAGTCAGAAATTGAACTTAGTCTAAATATTATTTGTTTTTATTCAATTATTTTGTAATGATTGCACAAAAAATGGTGAGCATGGTTAGAATGGCATGATTATGAGACATGCACTGGCCTCATCTGGAACCAGCTTTTCCCGTCACCTAATTGATTATTTAATGAGTTTAGGTAACTAATTTGCAACCACTTTGTTGAGCTAAGTGTATGCAGTATTCAAGACAATATTTCAAATAAAACCTTCCATTATTAGAAGGTTTAATTGTGGATAAAACACTGCCAGTCTTGTCACTGATTGTTTGCCAGAGCCACCATGCCTGCTCCTTTCAGTGACCAGGATACATAAAGGTCAAGGTCAGGGCATGTCTATTCACATTGGCATTACAGTGAATGCAGTAGGAATGCTGTGAGAGGTTTCAAGCAGCTAAATGTAAAAACAATGTTTTCAGCCCTGTGCATTCCTTACTACTCCCCTGAAATCACAACAGACATTAGCTTTTCAGCCATGCATTTTTCAAACATAGAAACCAGTTATGCAACATCTCATGGCTCTTTGTGACAAGCAAAGTTACACTTCATACAAACACATATTTATATCTTGTCAGCTACTAGTATGGCTGCTTATGCAGCAAATCAAGCACAAGGATGCACAAGCATTTGTGAAGTTCTTGGGACTTGCACTAATGGGAACTACTGGGAACTAATGGGACTTGCATAAATTTCCAGCTCACAGAATGGCCAATAACCCTACCTGTTGATGATAATGATGATGATTGAACATTCAAGGCATGCTAACATCAGAGGTCATTTGGCACACCTCAACCTTACTGCTGTTACCTTAATTGGCCATATGACAACTTGCCTTGCAAACAGCTCCATTCATTCAGCAAGTGTGGACACCAGATCAAAGTTGCATCAAAACATCTAGATACAGAATTCCTCCAGTTTGCAGACAGGGAAAACAATTCCTGTCAAACCTGTCTGGCAACCCATTAAAGGTCAACATTTAGAGAGCAATGGGACTATCAAAACAAGACATTCCATTGCATATTGGTATCATTAGAGTATATTATCATTAGTATAAGACATTAGTATAATTTAGCATGAGCTGCATTTGGCACAAGCATATAAATGTCAAGCTCAGCACATCAACATCACTTATGCATCCAGCAAAGGGGATGGTGTGTGTGTGTGATTGGGGCTTTACGACGCACTCAGCTGCTGAGGCTATATGGCGTCGCCTGCCTCTCACCCTGGCAGGAAGGGCGGGCACCGCAGGGAATCACACCCCGTACCTCTGGTTTCCCCGACGCGCTAACCACTACACTACCCACCCCAGCAAAGGGGATGGATTTTTGCAAAGTGACACAGCTCAGTGTTATGTTCAGTGAGTTCAGTGAGTTCAGGGTCCAGTATCTACTTTAAGCCTGTTGCCACCTGTTTCCCAAATTTGTACAGTGCAAATGTCCATAGAGCAATGCACTCTGTCCAAATATGCACAGTGAAGCTTAACCACTAGACCACTGATATACCACATTTCAATTTCAGCACATGATTATTCACCATTAAATCATATGAGAATCACCTAATACCAAATTGTGTGCCAATAAGTAAACCATTAAGTGCAATATACAAATTTAAGCATGTTCTTGCTTGGTACCCTGAAGCAGCCTGTTCCTGTCACTACTCCTGCCTTACAAAGGCTCCACAAAGTAGTGGGATCCCTCCCTTTACTCCTCCAACCTCATCTGGAATAGGGGGTGTTTTTTGGAGGTGTTTGGAGAAGCCTGTGGTAAATGTTAGTGGCACAGTGCATTCAAAAGTTTTTATTACTCCCTTTGCTGTTATACAGAAACAAAGATGAAGATGGAATTGTTGGCAATCCAGAACAATTTTAATTTCTGAATATAAGACAGAAACACACCCTTGCTCTGTGTCAATGCCCACAACAATCCTAATTTTTGAGGATGCATAAGCTCTGTTTTGGAACGTGCATATACACTAACACAAATGCAATTCATTGTGACATCATGCCTACAAATGGACAGCTCACACATTGACTTACACTTCGGCAACAGCCTAATTCTGAGCGAAGCCCAGCAGCATCAGTAACAACTAATCACCTGAATTAAGCACTCCTCAGGTATTGCACATTTTGTCTTGCATTTGAAACAACTGCGCATGTTTTGGATCATAGTTCCGATTTGGGGAGTACACAACTAAATCCCTATTGTGTGGCGTCAAACAGCTGTACAAAATCTTACCACTTCTCAGGAGAGTAGTTTTTCATTCATTTGGGTTAGGCGTGAGGCTTTAACCTCCTAGGTTTTGCTCCAGTTTTCAAGGTCTGGGAAAAATTGGCCCAAACCTGGGAAAACTTGCTTTTTCATATTATTAGGGCAGGTTATGCCGCCTCCGTGGTCTTGGGGAAAGATGCTGGACTCGTAATCCAGCGGCACTGGGTACGAGTCCCAGAGTGGGCGCATTGTTTGACCCGACTGAAAAGGAAAGGCCAGCTGGCAACTGGCCAACGAGGTTCAACCCAGGCCCGAGGCGGCCGTGTCGCAGCATTGTGCGGCACGTAAAACCCTCCGCATCCCTGTCTGGCGAAAGGGCGGAGGCAAAATTAGCTGTTGAACTGGACGGCACGCTTGGGTAGTGGGTTCGGGGTACACGCAATAAGCTATGCTTAGCAGGTACTCTGAATCCGAATTCACCCTTACAAACCATTCGGAATAGATTTATAAAAAGGTTAATTCATTTTTTACTGTTCATCCCCTCCCCCGACTTACTTTGTGAAACTACGCCCCTTGAACCTGCAGTTATATACATATATATAGAGATCATGCAGGGGTGTATTCAAGGGAAATATTTTTGACCCATGTTCGGCTGGAGGAAGCGGTAGCCCAGTACCTGACTAACGGGAAGGCTTGATGTCGGGACCGTAAAATGGCCCAGTTAGCTGACGCGCTACTTCGGCCGTTTTGCCGCGCGGCGATGATTGATGCGACGTGCAAATCATCGCCGCAAAAGACTGGAATGGATTCCGGCCGGGAGCCCGTGAACGACTAAATGTCAACATCACGGATGCCTTAATAAACCGAACTATATCTACAACCCATTCAGGCGCTTTTTTTAAAGGCGCATCGAAAAATTACTCCGCCCCCCCCCCCCACCCCCATTAATGTTCATGCTGTAATGATGACATCAAAAACAAAGGAAGATATGGAAAATCGAAAGAAAGAAAGAAACATGCGACTGTGGTATATTCCCTGCAAGAAATCCCCTGCCCCTACGGCACTCTAAGGGTGTTTTCTGACCAGAAATCTGTTGAGAAACTTGGGTCCCCGTCGCAATGCAAAATACTGCACATGCACTTGATTGTATTCATATGATACGGCGCCCCTCAGCGGTATTACTTCACAGGCAAAATCGTTTGCATGAGATTGGCGTGCTCTAGCCAGACTACCGGGTACGTATGAAATAGATTGCAAGCAATCGTCAAGTTTCCAATTAGACGGCCTAGCTCGCTGACTACCAGCAAAATAACCAGTTGCCTGCTGAGCTATTCAGGCCGCGGGCTGGTGGCGGTGTTCTCGGCATCTATGTCACGCGAAGCGTTTGCTATAGGTTGGGAGGCCGTGAGATAGGTCACGCCGAGGAAAACAACTTGGGGATTAGCATTTCTAGGGATTTAAAGGTTGAAGAGCAATGTGGGGCCGCTAGAAGCAAGGCACTTCCAATGCAACGAGTTAAACACAGGAATGTCATTACAAGAGAAGGAATGTCGTCAAAAACATGTACTCCGCCCATGTCTTTGCATATGTACTTTGCCTATGTGGGACCGCACCTAGAGTATCGTGCACAGGCTTGGTCCCCGTGCATCCAAAAAGATATGCATGGGCTGGAAGGAGAACAGTGAAAACCAAGTAGGATGACACATGTGATTGACGACATAAATTATAACGATAGGTTTAAAACCTTGGGGTTATGTTAACTGAAACATTATAGACTTGGTGGAGATAGACGGAGATCTTCGAGATTACGAATGGGATAGACAAGGAATATCTACATGAAGCTCGGGAAATCAGGCCGAGACTTGGAGGAAACCAGTTTCATTTAGCAGAAGGTATGAGAAGAACTATGTAGAGACGTCATTAATTCAAAGGGTGGTGAGTCATGGAAATGAGGTGTCAATCGAAATTGTAGGAAGTCCCTTTTTGGCAATATTTAAGAATCGTTTGGACAGATTACATCGGTTCGAAAACTTTATTTATAGCCCAGTTCAGGCAGACCGAGTGGCAAGATAAGTTTCGGCGTGTGGAACCCGAGGAAAGCCGACTTCGATGGGCCCTTGTGGTTCTTTGTTGGCCATATGTCTTTATGTCTGTACGTCCAGCAAAACATCTGCCACAAATAATCACATGCTAGGTTTGAGTACTAAAACCAAAAAGGAAAGCCCTCTTCAAACGAAAATTCAATACTCCTGGGCGGCAGCCATCGCGTTCGTAGTCGAGACATTCGCATCGCACATCATTGACAGCCTGTCCGCGCACTGCCTCAGCGCTGACATGAGAAGATCTCGCTCAGTTTTCTGCGCAACTGATTCCCAGTGAGAAGTTGCTTGAAGATCAGCCACGGAATTGCGTTCTATGGTGACTAACGGCCCACTGCGGCCTCTGTCGCATAAGTGCTGGTGATCTGCGTGTAGGGGCGCGCCGACGTGGCAGGTTATCTTGCGCTCATAACTTAAGTTAGGAAGCGCTGTCTAACTAAACGAGACTAGTTAGTGACGCCCTGTACAGGAAATACAACTACTTAGAATAACCAAAGCATGAAAATATCACCCTAGATTCAACCACCCCACTTATCAACATCATGTCGGATAACCCTCAACAGGGGATTTAAAGCAAGCACCTATATCAAGTAATAGACAGCGCAGGGAAAAACACAAGCGGGCGTCGGAGAACCGTAGCATCGTGGAAAAAAACACCAGCCGCACAGTTGCGTACAATAACTACTGCATACGCGGCCCTGCAAAAACGCCAAACATGAGTGCTCCGACTGTTCAGTGTTGTTCCTGCACGTACATGCCATAACGCGCACTAAAAGACAGATCTGGGCTGCTTTTCGCCCGCGTTTGGCACATTCACACGTTTGAAGCCGGTCTGCGTCGCAGTCTATTTCTTGGGCTCAGGCGCAATAAACATATTTTACGGGCGCTCTCTCGTGGCTTACCGTTTCGAAGATGGGGACAAGCACACCTATCATTTACAGGACACACGGGATATTTCCCAGCCTTGCGCATCGCGTGCACATGGCTACGGCCCGCGCTCGCAAAACTCACCCGAGCCAACCCCTTACGACGCACATCAAAGCACAATACGTCACAGAGCACTAGTGTATTCGCCAAAACAAACACGCTTCTCAAACTGACACGTTCCCCACTCGCACCCACTCCGCTACCGGCACGACACCAATCACTGCCCGCCGCGCTCACTTAGTCCGAAGGAGCTTCGCCTCGCGCACGGCGGCCAGGGCCTCGTCCTGGGCATTCATCTCCTCCTCGCGCTGCGCCAGGAACTCGCCGTACTCGACTGGATCGAGGTCACGCACCACCTGACCGCAAGCAGGCCACCGGTCACGGGCCCGGACGACATAGCGCAGGTCAGGGCATGTCAGACAAAGGCACAGTGACCTCCCGGGAATGCGACGAATGGGCTTGCGGCATCAGACCTGCACGGTGCACGTGTATGTTTATTTGATGCCCGCATAAGCTTCGAGAAAAGCTCGGCATCTTAACAACTGAAACCAGACTGACCGCATCTTAACATCCAGTCTAGAACGTCAAGATTATCCTTATTCCACAATCACGACATAAAGGTGGACACATTTACGCACCGGTGAATGCACAGAAGTTGGTGGTAAGAAGATTATAGCAATTTGAAAAGAAACAAATCATAAAAAGCTACCTGTATGCCACAGCTTCGTGCGGTGCGGATTACCATCTCGCAAATTTCCTTCAGATCCACCTCTTGGAGAGGCGGGTCTGCCGATTTGATTTTGGCGATCTCGTATATGTGCTTGAGCGTCACTTTCCCCGCAACATCATGCCCTGTGGATTCGGACCACTAGTAAACTGCAGCATTGGATGCAGCGGAGAGAGCAGGGGCTGGACGATCACCCATCACCGTGGCCATAACGCGATACCCAGACCCAGGCCCGGCCTCTCCGCATGGACCCGTGAACGACGAACCCACCAGCCAAGGAAAGCTGCCCGTTAATTCCCACCACACCGATAATGATCGCCACCCACTGGCTTGCCTGCTCAATATCTTTCAAACTTGACCGACCCGCAAACTGGCAGCCGGCAGTGAACGGCCGGTCCGGGCCGGCTGGCCGGGCCTGATCCGGGGCTCAGACGTGTCCCGGCGCGACGCTGACCTGCTTTCGTCGCGCCGCGTCGCGCGCCGGCCGCCTGCTTCAGGAAGTAGGTGGTTGGCGGCTGGTGGATCACCAGCTCGTAGCTCCGGTCTGCGCGCACCGATATCCGGCATGGCAGTGGGATGCCCGCCTGGATGTCTTTGGTCCGCTCGTTGAAGTCCTTGCAGAACGCGGCGATGTTGATGCCGCGCTGGGGGAACGCACTGGTGATGGCGGTGCCGGCCCTCATTTCGCCGGACGAGCCCAACTCGTGTCACACCGCTCATGCCCTTCAATGCATATCCCGGACGGTTAGCCACATTATAATAATATTCTGCATGACCAAATGTCAAGCTCTTCTGCATGATGCATGCAATTTTGGAGGTCCTATGCCACCAGCACACTATGACCTCATCTTATCAAGGGTTTGCACAGCAAATTGAGTGGAAAATCGATGCCAGGCACCAAAACCTTGGACTTCCATACACTATGGCTTACTGCCTATTAACAGCAGGGCTGATAGTGCTAGCACTGATTTCAAAATGTTCTTTTAGCTGTAGTTAACATGCAAGGCAACCATTCTGCTTCAAATTCTCTCTAGGACACCAGGTATGAAACCAGCACAGGCTTACATACCCTCTTCTCCACCTGGTGTGGTGGTTACTCCTTACCAATTTTGAGCACTCTGCAGCATGGCATGTAGGAATGACCACTGCTGAATCAATGCCTGGTGCACAACAGCAAATGTTCAGCAACTGGCAGTGCAGTTTTGCTGTTTTTGTTTCAAAACTGCTGTTGCATGTTTCACTTAGTTTTGAAAATTCCCATGGAGGAGACATAATGGAACTCACAGCAAGACTACTTTTAGCACTCAGAGATGTGACGTTACCCGAGGTCATCTCATGACAGTCCCTGGCTGTGACCAAATACTACCTTGCCTTAACAATCTTTGACCACCATAAATGACCCAGCATGTCAAGTACATCAATGTAGGCATGAACAAAGAAGCAATCTCTGTCTATGAGAGATAGAGATTCCCATGCTCAAACATCTGTCTATGAGAGATAGAGGTCCACATGCTCAAACATGATAAGGTGTGCTAAACCAAACCCACCTGACCAAGCTGTGGACCCAGTGGAGGTCCTGCCACTGCACCCTGTGCCTTGATGTCAGTCCGCAGAGTGGGACCATGGACAACCTTTTCCACAGCTTTCTTGACATTTTTTAACCTGTTAGCAACCTTGGACATAGTTCTGTGGAGGATGAGAAGATAAATTGAAGATGACAAGAGAGCAAACAAATCAGAAGCCATGAGGTTTTGATGATGATTTTGGATCTAAGGGCATGCCAACATAAGAGGTCACCCTGCAACCAAAGCCATGATGTTTTATCAATGCTAAAAAGACAATATCATTTCTAGTTTAATTCCTATTAATGTCAATGAGTATGTATGTAATATTAATCTTATGCCTCAGGTTTGTGATGGCCCAAGGTAAAAAAGCTCAAGTTTATAATCTCTCACACAATTGCAGCCTAGTGGACAACTTCTTTTGAGGATGCGAAAGTGAACAGCTCAATGATGGAAATGGGCAGGCTGAGCAGGCCCAACCAGCACAACTGGCATGTAACCTGGTGGGAGCAAGGGGTGAAAATGGTGAGTGCCTGGTAGATAATTTATGGGTGATCCCTCACAGTTCCTTGGACAGAGGCCATTTCTGTGAAAATGATTTTAGAGTGACCCCTTGTCATCCAGTAGAATGGAAAGGAGATCGGCAAAAAGTATACGTTAACTAGAACTAGGTTGAGGGGCCGAGCCGAAAAAGCCATTTAATCATGCTAGCTCGTTTTGTTTCGCGACTAGCCTTTTTCTGCACAAAACGCTAAAGTGACGGGTTTCCCGCCGCAGTTGACCCAATTCCTCCTCAGACCAAACTAGCCTTGGACCACACTTCATAGAAAAATACCAGCCAGCACAACTCACTCAACCGGCTCGTCAAACACACCCCACCTTTCGCACGTTAGTACATTCCTATTAAAACTCGACAGTCAACACACGTGTTTCCCTGCGCAAAATTTTGTGGATCAAAGCACAAACATACCATAACTAATCAAAGAGGAGCTAACAACTATTTCACAACTCAAGTTTTCTTTTCCATTTTGATTGGCCCACAACAAGTCCACAGCTAGGAACACTGATCATTGAAAGAAGGCGAACGAAGGCCAAGAGGGCTTCACAATTGCCTCTACTCGCGTTATGATGATTTCTGTTACATGCCAAACACTTCGTGCTATACCACGGTGAGAGCTTAATGCTATGAATATGTCATTGTATAAGCTTGTTGCCTTCCAAAGTAAGGGATGAGTTACCAGGATTGGAGAGGTTATGTATTGCTTAGGTTTGGTTTGGGTAAAGCTCCACGTGTGCAGAGCAAAACAACAGAAAGGTGGAAACTGACCAAATTTGAGGTGTTCCATATTCAAGCAGTTCTTGCAATAGGCTGCACCCCTCTCTCTACCGATATACTTCAGAATGCTGGTACTTAAGATTGGTGAGGGTGTTACTAATATTGGAATGATGTGAGCGTACTGTAGTAAATGATTAAGATAGACAAGCCACAAGTCTGGTAAAGAAAGAAACTTGTTCAGTCCATTTTTAAATAAAAGTTATGTACCCTACATTCTGGAGCAGTATTCTGCACTGCATTGAGCATTTTCAGATAGTTATCTAGAGCAGTGTCATTTAATGGTGGGTATTGCAGGATTTTTGTGTATGTGTGTATTGTAATTATTCATATGGTCAGGTGTTCATATGATTGATGCTTGTCTCAACTGGTGTCTTGTGTCTAAAAGTGATGTTCTCTTTCCCAAAAATATCCAGCCTTATCCAAACATTGTTGTAAACATGTGGATCTCCCCCTCCCCCTAAAAAATGCCTAAAATTGTGCATGCTCAGCATGTGTCCATAATATCTGCACAATCATTAAGTCAGGGGTGCACACAGACTAATAAAGGGGCAAACACCCCCTCCCATTAGGACCTGAGTGATCTTTCAGGATCCCAGTCCCAGTTTGTTTAGGAGTGATTATCAAGGACCTAAAGGATTGGTGAGGATCTGAAACATGATAGGCCACTGCACTGTTCCAGGCCACACAGTGCCTATCACTGTTTAAAACCAACCTCATCTAATAGTGGGGCAGAATTACATGCAATTTGAGGGACCATCCCCTGAGCCTTAGCCAGCTCAAGGATCCACTTGCCAGGTATGAGATGGGTACCCAGTTGAGGTTCCCCCTTATGGAATTTTCTGGGCCCACTCTAGCAGGTATTTGCAGGCTGCCTCAACAGGCTGCACAACAAGCTGGTTAATGCGAGGATGCAGGATAAGGCAAAAAAGAAGAGAACTTGGTTGGATGTCAAGTACAAGTCCTGTTTTGTGCCACGTAATGCAAGAATTTGGGTATCCTTACTAGTTGTGATGGAAATAAAGGCTTGCAATCAAATAGCTTAAGGTAGCATCACATGATTATGTGGATGCAAGAAGGCAATTTAAACTTACTGATAAATATGCAAGAACAAATGAGAAGGGGTCGAAACACAGGCAGGTGACACTATTTGATTCAGCACCGCGACTGCCATATCACCATGGCAGCCATAGCCACCTCTGGGGTGATTGAAGTGCTACAAGTGAGTGTTAGGGTGGAAATTTCTCATGGCTGGATTGGCAGTATCTCAGCGTCATACAAATACTCCACAACTTATTGTGTTAATGATGTATAGAGGCGTACACTTACAAAACATGTTTTTTGTGTTCTCTAGAGCATTCTTCTCCACTTAAAAGTATCCTGAAAGTTATAAAGTGGGCTTATTTTAGCTGAAAACGCTCGATTTCAGAAAAATGTGACTTGACCTGGCATAGTGGGTTGAATTGTTTACCTTGCAAGGTAAAACCTATAACTAATCGTGAGACCTCGGGAAGATCAATCAAATAGTATTTTCCACTTAACTCTGTCTCTCTTAGTTTGGATATGGCAGGGGGCATTGGCATTGCCCCCTGTTTGTCTGTGCTGTGAAAAACGGCGAACCAGGGCGAGGGTCGATCCGTTTCCGTCACTGGCGCAATTTTGCAAAATGAGCTGGGGTCTGAAATTCGGAAACAGCGCAACCTTTTCTCAGAATATGCCAACAGACAGGTTTCTCCCTGGATTTGGTTCACTTTCTGCCCAAGGCTGCTGGGCTCGAGGTTATGATGGGCGGGGGACCAATCTCTCCCCCTCCAACTGAGAAGGAAGTTTTTTGTTGTTTTTTCGTTTAAATTTGATCCGAGCCCTTTTAATGGATGGATTTCTGGGATCAGCGCTCACGCTAAGCAGTGCTTGTTGTGTGAGCCCTGACCTCTACGATCCGATCGTGCAATTCCAGGCAACGGCAGAATTCAGTGGCGAAAGATCAACGTGCCGCAATGTTCGGCACGGTCCGTCGTGCCCTCTGACGTCAACTGACCTTTAGCGCGAGGGCAAATAGCGAGCGCTGTGGGGCGACTCGAACCCACCCTGCCGCGGGTGGGCGGATCGGAAGGCAGGCGCTCTAACCAACTGAGCCACCGGGACGGACGCATCTTTAGTTCATCTTTAGCTTAGTAGATGTTACATCTTTGGCTTCCGTCATTGATTTGAAAGTCACGCTGATCAAACGTACCCCCGGGGTAGCTCTATACGCACGATTCGCAACACGCATTGCTGCGTAGAGCGCCCAAAGGTGTGTCTTTCAGATGTGAGATCGCCTTTGTCCGCCCGTTGGCTGCCGCCAAGTGCTAACCCCTGGACGGACATCACATGTGCCATGGAGACTGCAACCCTGCAAACTGTCTGTTGTTTTTTATAGCTTTTTAGGCTTGCGAGCACGCATGCTCAAAAGCGTTATTTAATATTTCACCATGCTGGTCTGAAGTAAGGATGATCATCCAGGGGAACATTGTTTGGCCATGTCAAAAAATTTTTGACCTTTTTCGATCTGAAATCTATGTGCAGTCCACGGAATCCTCAATATCTATGAAGCACCCCGAAAAATTCCGGCAAAGCCCTTGAGTGGTATCGTTTTAGAAGTAGCCTACCGATCCATTGTTAACTGAATAGTGCTGGCTGGATGGAGTTATTTGACGTTTGGGTTCTCCAGTTCATTTATTGACATCACATTACAAATAAATTGCGTCTTCCATTGGTTTTTGGCTACCGTTTCAATTAAAGGGGGTGTTCCACATTTCGAGGAGGTTTTGGACTGAACTAATCGCCTTGAAGATTAATCGCTGCAGTTCACAGCCCTGCCCTTCCGAAGACCTAAATCGCTCTAGTTTCTGCGCTTCACGCCCTCGAAGATGGGGGACTGCAAGGTCACCCAGGCATCCATGACGCCATAATAACGTCATTCAAATTCTGCTATTCCATTAGCCATGCGGTGATTAAGGCCAGTAACAATATAATTGTTGGGTCATTCATTTTTGGCGTTCATGAGCACACTTTGTTGATATAACAGCCGTCAATGGACTCAGTGAATGTTGCGCCAGGTACGATGACTAAATCAAGCTTTGACGTCTTGGGGAGCGTATTAGTATAACAGAGAAATTGTGTTATCTAGAGCAGTTTTTCCATTTCAAGGCATATCAGTATTTATAAATTAGCTTATGTCATCATGTCTGATGCTTGCTTTGATATCATCAAGTGTGGGATATTCCCTTACAGGAAGGTAAAAGCATGAATGGGATGGAGAAAATCGCAAGATCACGCTCCTCGAAATAGAGTGGGCGAAATCCGCTGATTTCGTGGATCTAATCATCAGCAGGGGCCCTTTGTCAAAACCCTGTCCCCGTACCCCACACCCCATTCTTATCCATTGTCTGGATGCGGCCTTTCCTAGAATGCAGTGAGATCGCCAGTTGCTGCTTATGCTCTTAAATGGTGCTGGCATCACACTCTTCTACAGTGTACTTTTTATGGTAACCATTACCTTCTGGCGATTCAAGCTTGAAAAGCATGTTGGAGCCGGAGTCTTCGCAATCACAGCGTATCGCGACAACACCATGCTATTCTTTCTTCTCTCTCTGTCCATTACGCACAGGTACCTGATGTCGGTCCCGTACACATTTTCAGGTAGCCTGCTAGGTGCACGGTGTGGACACCACCGGTGACCAGCCAGTGCATGTGGACTACTGTCCAGCTCCTGCTCACCACCGTCCGTCCCGGAGCGGGCTCTGCGCGCCGTCTGCCTCGCCCGGCATGCTTCTGGCCGCCCGCCGCGCGCGCGGGCAGTGACCGGCGCCCGGCGGTCATGTCCGCGTGCCGCGGTGGGGCGCCGCTGGCGCAGGAGAGCCGGCCCGAGCGGGCGGCCGCTCCAGAGGAGCCGGGCGCGGGCCCTGGGCTGGCGGCCCCGCCGGCGGGCGGCGGACCCGACGCCCCTGAGCCGGCCAGGCGGCTGGAGCTCCGGCCGCTGGGTCGGCACAGCCCCAAGCGGAAAAGTGAGGCGTCCGCTGACCGTGGGAAGGTGGATGGTGGTGAAGATGGTGCTGGCCAAACATCCGGGAATGGCGTAAAGAAGGGGAAGTTTGGCTCGCGTGAAAAACCAAGGGAAAACACAGGTATCAACTCTGAATGAATCACGGGGTTGAACCATGAAAGCACAAGCACTCTATGTATGTATCTATGTTATATCTATGTATATCTATGTATGTATCTATGTTATATCTATGTATATCTATGTATGTATCTATGTATCTATGTTAACTGTGTATCATGGTTACATGGCTGTTTAGTATTTTAATGATAAAACATGTAGCACATGTTATGTCACTCCTCATGTCACGGATCACCTTGGCACCTCAATTCTTGATTCAGTGGTTTTACATTCAGGGTCATCGACTATTTTGATATGGAGGATCCAGGCTGCACCATAAAACAGAACTTAGGCGAATATGCGAGGGTGGCAATAACACATCATGTTTCGAGCTTTACATAGGTACATATGATAGGAGGGATGCCTTTAATGTGGATTCAGACTGGAAACCAGTGGTGGTCTTTTGAGTCCTGTCATTTGGTTAAACCATCATCAATAGCGGCATGTTTGAGACCTTTCTAGTATGGATGGTAACCATTCCCCTCGGTTCCAGTGTCGGCAGAAGAAATGCTGGAGAAGATTCGAGTATGGGAAGCAGTACCTTTGAAGCCAAATGCGAGGTCCACTGAAGGTGACCAATATGTACAATTTGTTGCCAGCCCACCATCTATGCCTGGGTTGTGTGGTGTTTAATGTTTTAACTTTTGACTGTTCACTAAATGTGGAAGATTCCCACTCATAGTCACTAAGTAGTCATTTTAGCAGTGTTTAATGCAAACGATCCCCATCAGTTGGATTTCAATGAGTCTGTGTCATGCCAATAATTGCTCCTGTTGTGGTTTCCCTAAGTATTTGGATGCCAGTCCACCACTGACAGCTTCTGTTGCATGCTCAGATAGGTCAACCATTCCATTTGTGTGCCTCAAGGTGCCTCTGATTTCCTTTTGGCTTGATATGCTGCCTAAGTATACAGCATGGACGTGAACTTGAGAGGCCTCAAAAACTAATTTCCAATGTTATTTAGGCTTGGGCAAAAAACTACTGCTGTGTCGCGATGCTCGTCTTCAGGCACATATTGATGATGTCTTGACACTGTCTCGATCGCGTCCCCAATGAGCCATACGTGATGTGTGTGCGGTTGCTGTCGGGTGTATGCGGTTGCTGTCGGGTGTGTGCGGTTGCTGTCGGGTGTGTGCGATTGCTGTCGGGTGTGTGCGGTTGCTATCGGGCGCGGCTGCTGTCGAGTGCGTGTGGCTGCTGTCGGGTTTGCGATCGCTGTCGGATGTATGCGGTTGCTGTCGGGTGTGTGCGGTTGCTGTCGGGTGTGTGCGGTTGCTGTCGGGTGTGTGCGGTTGCCGTCGGGTGTGTGCGGTTGCTATCGGGCGCGGCTGCTGTCGAGTGCGTGTGGCTGCTGTCGGGTTTGCGATCGCTGTCGGGTGTGTGCGGTTGCCGTCGGGTGTGTGCGGTTGCCGTCGGGTGTGTGCGGTTGCGGTTGGGTGTGTGCGGTTGCCGTCGGGTGTGTGCGGTTGCCGTCGGGTGTGTGCGGTTGCCGTCGGGTGTGTGCGGTTGCTGTCGGGTGTGTGCGGTTGCCGTCGGGTGTCTGACCGCCGGCTGTCCGCCTCCGCAGGCGCCGGCCTCGACTTCACCATGGTGTCGTACAACGTGCTGTCGCAGCACCTGCTGGGCTCGATGCGGGACCTGTACGAGGGCTCCGACCCGCTCCACACCGCCTGGGAGACGCGCGGGCCCCGGCTCTGGCGCCAGGTGGTCCGGCTGAAGCCGGACGTGAGTTAGGTCTTCGCTGTGTCGTATGGGACGCAGTAAGACCTCCGCTGTGTTGTGTGGGTAGATGTTGGCTGCGTCTCGGGTGTGTTTTGTGGGGGCGGATGGGAGCGGGACCTCCGCTTTGTCGTATGGGACGGAGCAAGACGTCCGCAGTGTTGTGTGGGTAGATGTCGGCTGAGTCTCTGCCGTGTTGTGTGTGTGGGGGGGGGGGAGGGGAATGGGAGCGGGACCTACGCTTTGTCGTGTGGGATGGAGTAAGATCTTCATTGTGTTGTGTGGGGTGGATGTTGGCTGGGTTACGTGAGGTGGATATGAGCTGGGTCTGCTATGTTGTGTGGGGCGGATCTTAGCTGAGTCTCCGCTGTGTTGTCGGGGGGGGGGGGGGATGTTGGCTGAGTCTACTCTGTTTTGTGTGGGGCGGATGTTAACTGGGTCTGCTATGTTGTGTGGGGCGGATCTTAGCTGAGTCTCCGCTGTGTTGTGTGGTGCGGATATTAGCTGAGTATCGGATGTGTTGTGTGGGGCGGATATTAGCTGATTCTCCGCTGTGTTGTGTAGGGAGATGTTAGCTGAGTCTCCGCTGCGTTGTGTGTGGATGTCTTTTGGATGCCTTTGGAAGGGTGCTTTTTGACGACCGTAGTGCGGGGTTGCATCCAATGTGCTAAATTGCCTGTTGCACAGTTGTTTGGTTTATTGGGACATTTGTTGTGTTCTGTCACTCAGGTGGCTTCTACCATTTCAGATTATCTGCCTGCAAGAAGTGGAAGAAGGAGACATTGATGCATTCTGGATACCTCGTTGTAGAGAGGAAGGTTAGCACATTTCTCCCCTATGCTCACCAGCCCTGCGCACAATGCCTGCTTTCGTTTTTTGTGTCGACTGAGGGCTCTCATGCTCGGCACGTTATTTTTCTACCTGCCTCAGACATGTCACGTGATTCAGCTGCCACCCAACGGCATCGGCCGTCGGCCGGTCGGCCGGCACGTGGCGGACCATGCGGAGGGCGGTCTCAACACCCTCCGGTGCTTTGACGCAGGACTCCAAATTCTGTACAAGCGCCGCACGGGCCCGGACAAGAAGGACGGCTGCGCGCTGCTGTACCGCGAGGCCCGCTTTGAGCTGTGCGAGGAGGCGACCGTCGAGTACCTGCAGCGCGACTGCCCGTCGCTCGACAGAGACAATGTCGGCATCGTGGCCAGGCTTAGGTGCGTTTTACGAGCGATGGATGGCGCCAGGAGGCGCGAGAGGGCTTTGGTTTTTCTTGAGTACGTGGTTGTTGGCTATTGACTGAGCGTTTTATAACTGGTGTGGCCATCACTAGCGCCACATGCATTGTTGGACCATGTTTCGGCCTACACTCCCCCTGCAGTGCGTGACCAGCTGTCGTGGCTGGCCTGGCATTAGCTCCTGACCTCCCTTTGCCCCGACCTTCGCACACCCCGTGCCCCGGCGTGAGTGACCTGACCTGACCTCACCTCGGGTGTAAACTCGCCGCTTTCCCCAGGAGCGACCGAGGCGACCTGGTGGTGGCCTGCACGCACCTGCTCTACAACCCGCGGCGTCACGATGTCAAGCTGGCGCAGGTGGCGCTGCTGCTGGCCGAGGTGGACCGGCTGGCCTGGTGCGGGCGCACCGAGCGCCACCTGCCCGTCCTGCTGGCCGGCGACTTCAACCTGGAGCCCTTCTCGCCCGTGAGTGGGCGGCGCCGGGTGCTGGGCTGAAACCTGCTGACCGGGATGGAAGCGTCCTGCCCAGAGGCGCATGAGGCGACCAGCGGGGAGAGCGGGCCAGGCATGAGGCGACCAGCGGGGAGAGCGGGCCAGGCGATGAGGACCTGGCGCTCATTGCTGGACGGTTCTAGAGCTATCTGGAGGGGGGGGGGGGAGTCCAGCGGGTGATGCGTCACCCGCCGGCCAAGTCTGTCGTCACTACCCAGGCGGGCAGGATGGTCTGGCTCATGTGCAGGCCTGTGTGGAACCCGCGCTCAGTACACCACGTATGTGCCTGTTCCGGCAACGTATACCATCGTACGTACGCATGTGCGTCGTGCTATCCCAACACCATAGTATGTCTCCTCGCCGATCCAGACCACGCCACGATTCATGGAGGGCGTAGGTATGACGCCACCCCATCAGCACGCCGCGCCGGTATTGAATTCCGTCCGTCGGCCTACCCCGACCTTGCATAACGCCGCCGCCGCCGCCGCCGCCAGGTGTACGACTTCCTGCGGCACGGCTGGCTGCAGTACGGCGGCATGTCGCGACGCCAGCTGACGCCGTTCGGCGGCGGCGAGCGCTTGCTGGGCCCGCTGCTGCCGGCGCGGCTCGGCGTCAGCGCCCTCTGCCAGCACGCGGCCGTGCAGGCGCGCCGCCGCTACCGGCCGCGCGAGAGCGAGCCCGACCGGCGGCGCGCCGAGCGCGGCCTGGTGGCGCTGGCGCACAGCGAGCGCACGGCTCCGCTGCCGCCGCTGCCGCTGCACCAGCTGGTGAGCGAGGCGCAGGGCTGCCTGGGCCACGCGCTGCGCCTGCGCTCGGCGTACCCGCACGGCTCGCCACGCGTCACCGGCGTCACCACCAAGCAGGGGCGCTGGACCACAGTCGACTATATATTTCACAGGTGAGGCAGAAGGGTAGGGGGAGAGGAGTTACTGCTGGTGATGGTTGCAACGTGCTTGCGCTGGGCCGGTGTTGGTGACGTGGGAGGCGCGCCTTTTGGGTGGTTCTGTGGGTCTTAACGGGGACTTGGTGAGAGTGTACAGACGCCTTTGCAGAGTGTCGTGATGTCCTGTGCCCGTCCGTCGTGTCAATCTCATGTCTCTCCGTCTCTTCCAAGCTTTATTTTCGTTGTTCACGCACGCGCTCTGTTACGTAACATGCCTGTTGTGCGTGCCGTGATAGGACGGCGAGCTGCTATGGGCCCTCGGCTTTGCGAAGTCTGGCCCGACCGGCGCAGGCCACAGGAGCTATCACTGGTACTGGCCGGAAGTGTGAAATGGAAGGGGTGGTTGCACCTGGTGCGCGTCGTCGTGTCCTGCAGCATGTTTGGAAAAAAGTGGAGTCCCTGGCAGCAAAACTGTGATGCGCTTGGACCACCGTTCGTTTCCTTGGAGCGGGCCGGTGCGGGTGCTGTCTGTGTCGTTTTCTGTGTGAGGTGATCTCACCGTTTTCACACGAGGTGGTGCGGGCCTGTGTGTACGCGGATCGCACCGTAGGATCTGAGTGGTGTACTGGGTGTCGCCAACTACAGTGCCCCGTTGTGGCGCCACCACCGTGTGCCGTCCGTCTTCACCCCCGCCTGTCTGTGTTTGTAACTCGACAGCGCCACTGCGGTGTACCGTCTGTTCTCATCCTAGCCTGGCTGTGGTTGTAACTCTCGACTGTGCCGCAGCGTGGCGCCACTGCCGCGTTCCGTCCGTTCTTATCCTAGCCTGGCTGTGGTTGTAACTCTCGACTGTGCTGCAGCGTGGCGCCACTGCCAGGCGCCTCGGGTCTGCGGCTGCTCTCGCGCCTGGCGCTGCCTACGGCCAGCCTCTGCCAGCAGCTGCGGCCGTATCCCAGCGAGGCGCTGCCCTCCGACCACCTGCCGCTGGCCGTCCAGTTCCGGCTGTGCCCACCCGCTACCTGGTGGTCCGACCCCACCAGCTGACCGGGCCCGGGCGCCGGCCAACACCGGTAGTCTGGAGCGGCCGCTGGCTGGAGGCTGTGGCCTGTAGTTAACGCAGGGGGATGGGACTGAGACGTGCAGGGGGATGGGACTGTCCGCCGACCCAGGTTTCAGACGAAGTCGGCGGTAGCATCCACGCCCGCTCCGCCGCGCTGGATGGTGCAGGAGCAGGCGAGCAGATTGCCTCTGGCTGGTGCTGCCACGCGCACCGGAGCGAGAATGGGCCGCCCGGCCGACGCGTGTCGGATGGCCGTGGTGGAGACGTGGCTGCGTGATGCAGCCGCGCCCTGGTACAAACGCTCGGTCCCGACGTTCGTGGATTGAGTGTGTTGCCAAATGACAAACTGCTGGCACGTCGCTGTGCGGCGTGTCGCTTGGCGTGCGCTCATTAATACATAACTTACGGCGCGTCCACTGAGGATTCGGATTTGTTGCATCGAGCAGATACCGCGCGTAGATACATGGTATCTACCATGTATTTAGGCACCTAGCCTGTCAATTGCTGTGGGCATTTTTAAGGCTAAAATATTGAGATAACGGGCGCTATATTGTCTCGGGGTAGCCGAATGTCAAGAGTCAGATACAGAGGCGATGGCCCACAGCGGCTTGCGGTCAATCGATGTCTGGAATAGTCATTATGGTGCTCTGTAAAGGTGCGCAGTCGGGTGTGTCATCAGTAACAAAACCAAGTGAGGCAAATAAATTATTTGGCACAGGAGTCCAAAAGTACACGACATAGCAAAAGCTCTTCCCCAAAAGTTGGATTCGTGACGCGCGAGCCGATCGAGATATCGCCATAAACCGACGCCAGGCGTTGCAGTCACTATATGCTGGGCGGCGCCCGCTGCCGCAGGTCACACCAAGCTGTGGGCGGCAAGCGATACAAAATGCTTTTGCGCATGGAAACGATGCCACCGAGCGCTCCTTGAGCCGTCGTACGAGAATGTCCCGGTCTGAGGTATAATGTGCGGATTAGACATTGTCCAATTGATCGCCCTATGGCGGAGACTTTGGGGGGAGGAGGCGGGCGGGTTAGGGTGACCCCACGCACGTCTTGCTCCTTGACGAGCCTGCGTATTCGATACACCGGCCCAAGCAGCAGCTGCTCACAGACCGGAGACCCAAAACGCGTGACGCGTGTTGGCGGAGATCGCACGGTAACAAATACCATCGCAACTGGGTTTCACATATCGTCGAAGCTCCAGCTCCAGCCCCAGACGTCCTCGACAGTGCGGCGTTGGTTGCACTCCTTGTGTGAACCAGACTAGGGCGAGATTGCCAGTGGGGCCTGCACTTCGTTCCGCAGCTCGCAGTCGCTGGGTCTCGCAGTGGAGGCTGTGTGACTGGTCCGTGCTAGGGGAACCAGGTTGGTGTATCTCACGGCCTCGAAGTTTAAATCTGGGATGGCGGAGACCCTGGGCTGAAGAAGGCCCTCGGTTTGCTGCTCAAGAGCGGTGCGGCGATCGGAACCACCTGTTCGCGGACCATGCGGTTCCCATCCCGCACCATGTCCAGCAGCAGCTGCTCCGGACTGACCCAATACCCGTTACGCTGGGGGACCGGCTACACCGTGGCCTACGTTTGCTGCGGCAGCTCGCGGAGCAGCGCGATGCTCCGGAACAAGTCGCGAAAGCCAAAGCCACAGCCGCTGTTTTGCCGGATGGCGGACCATAGCGCAACATAGTGGTCGACCACGCTATGGACGAGGCCCTCGAGAGCCCTACTGGAGGTTTCGATAGTGATGTAAACTAGGAGCAGGCGAGCGGCCAGTGTCAACCATCTGAAAGCAAAAGCGAGTACACTGGAACAATTTGCTACGAACTGAGCATTAGATCATGCAAAAATTATTGCGCCTCTGTTATGCCGATATTCAGAGTCTTTAAATGTGACGGAATGGATATCAACAAATATACTAGTAAACATGAGCCAACGAGCAAATAATGCGACATAATACGGCACAAGGTATGATAAAAGTAAGTGCTCAGCAGTGAGCACATGAAATATCAATTGATACTTGAAGTTTAAACACTCAGCGCTATAAATTCTTGGCTCCGTGTGGCTCATGTAGCTCCTGCCCTCCCGGCCGTCAGAGTAGATGATGGTCGAACCGTGATTCGTGGATTGCTCCAGCATTTTGACGAGCCGTCTCCTTTCTCCCGGTGGCCCCCGAGCCGGTTTAAGAGGCCCCGAGGCGGCCCGCGGAGCGGGTCTGTGTGGTCATCATCATGGGCACCAGCAGCTGTCGACTGAGTCTGAGAAGGTCGGCCAGCGACAGTGCGGCGGAGACTCCCAGCAGCAGGCTGACAATGCCGTCCATCTCGCTCAGTAGGCTAGCCACGGTGCGGGGGCGCCGCTCGGTGGCTACCTCTTCCGGAATATGACCGGGCTTAAGCTGGATCAGAGAAGCGCTGAACATGCCGCCCTCACGTGGCTGGATGTCGGCACTGGCGATGAGGTGCTGCTGCCGACTGGCGGGCGAGCAGCGGCACCCCGTGAGGCTCCTGGCAAGCTTGCCTGATTGGCCTGGCCGTGAAGAGCGTTCGGGTAGGCTAGGGAAGTCTTCCAGCATTTCGGGAGTCGAGCAGTGGAACGTGGCCGCTCACAGAGTGGTAGTTACATAACACGCCCGCCTCGTAATTGTGGCCGAAAGTCGAATTGCATTTGTAGTTGCGTAGACTGGCGGTTGAAGATGTGCGAAGAGACGCTCAGTCGGATGTTTTTCGGACCTCTCGACCGAATGTGCTGGTCCTGGGTCCGCGTGATGTCTGGGTTGGTGACGATGGGCCTATGCCTGGGGCGGACAAAAAGGTGGTGGTCCCAAAAGGCCGGGGAATCGATTTTGACTATCACCTCCACATTCAGCTAAAACGTCTTCACAAATTGGAGAAATGCTAGAAACATGTCATCCCGAGTACGGTGTATTGTCCGGGCGACATGCGGGGTTGCACTTCTTCGCCAATGGCCCCAGGTTGAAGCTGTCCGTCAGTACCGTTCCGAGATTGAGATATTCCGCGGTCGGTAGATCGTCTTGCCGTGGAGATAGCCGCAGACCGTGACGTCAGCTACGTCGACGTGCTCGGCGGGCGGACAGGGAAAACGTCGTGGCAACAGGCTCACTGAGGTGGAGCTGCACGAAGGTCGACAGGAGCGACACAGCACAGCGTGAGCAGAGAGCGGGGGTGAGCCACCCTAGTCCGGGGCGAGCACGAGGGGGGGGGGGCATCTGACTGAGGGTGGCGCGTCCACTGTCAGTGGAGCATCTAAACGAACGAAGCTCTGCTCCTCACTTTCCTCATTCACCCACTTTCCAGGGAGCATCGATCGAATACCTGGATCTCCGTCGTGCCATCGGCCTCAACGGCCACCGCAGAGCCCGCCTGTGCGGTTGGGATCCACGCTGTAAAGTTTGTGCTGCGAACTTTGCAGCGCGTTACAGCCGTTCCTGTGGTATAACTGGTGGTACACCTGATCGCTTTGTGCGACTGCTTGCATGAAACAACTCAGCAATGTCCCCATGCACACAGCGTTGCTGCCACCGCGATCAGAGACAGGCATACACTAATGAGTTTTGGAGGGGTATGCGAGGAGACAGGGGGGGGGGGAGGGGCATAGCACGGCAGGCCGGGCCAGCTTATTCGTCGAAATCTTGTGTTATTTGCAAGCGGCGTTTAGCTTAATATAGGTGCCTTTGATCTAGCAGAAAACGATAAACTTGCTTGCATGACGGAAAAATGAGATTAAAGGTTGCAATTTGGCACCAGTAAGATGCATTTAAGTGTTATTTCACATCGCATTTTCAGTGCTTACAAACGGAAGGTCGTGTTAAACGATCGAGGTAATTCCGTGTGGGCTTATCCAGTTGTGTGAATAATAGCGGGGCGAAGCCAAGTGCCTGACAATCTAATCTCCCAAAATACATATTTTTCAGCAGGCTTAGCCCACTTTATTTCGTCAAACGTCGGATTTCATTTTTCGTTTCTGCACCATCTATCAAACAGTCCTTTATTTCAGCGGAATTGTAGTCATGGCCACAAGTAGAAAGTTCGCTACCGACTCGAGACACTCAAGATATTCCATGCACATTTGATAGAACCAGTGTATGGAATGTCTCGAATTGGATGACAACTTTACAGTTTCGGCGAATGTACTAACTGCGTGGAACGTCTTGAAGTGACTGCTATCCCTTCACTTCATTGCCACTGAGGGTCAAAGAAGGCAAGCTTTGTGTGATGTTGGACTCACTGCTGCACATGTTTGAAAGCATTGAAGTTTCTTGCCTCGGCGGGTCATAATTTATCACCATTTTCTCGAGAGTTTGCAGGTTGCATTTTATTCAGAAATGATAATTAACGCTTATATATCGCAGGAAATATACTCACAGGAGATTCACAGGACTGTTTTTTGAGCCCCATCACTATTCAGTTAATTGTTATCGTTAAGCTGCATTTTCTGGTTTGTCTTATCTTGGTCGAGCTAGGTCAACCTGTGGCCAATGTGACGAGATGTTAACTTTTCAGGGCATGCGATTTACACGTCAATATCACATATCATAGAGCTTTAAAATGTCTCCCCATCGATCTTTTCCCCATTGGTATGGCCTGCTCAAATCATGGTTCCACTGCGCAAGCTAACGCAGCAACAGCCTTCGCCGCTTTGGCCTCACATTAAACATCACAGGTCACATTCTGTCAATTTCCAATTGTGTCCACCTGATAGAGTGGGCAAGGTGACACCGTTTTCGCATTGTCGTTGCACGCTTAGTTCTTGAAATAATATAAGGGGGCTGCTAAGTGCTAAATTGACCAGTATGACCTTATTTGACCTGTCAGAGGTCACGTTTACCGTCGATCATTCACATCTATGTCATGAGGTTTGACGAGAGCTCTCTAGTGCCGCTTTCCCTGTGGCTCTAGCTTCCCCAGTTTTTTTTTTTTTGAAAATGGGGAACGGTCTTCTGAGGCCTCCCCTCACATGTGAAAGGTAAAGAGCTTCAACAGGGTTTAAAACCGGCTGCCGAATGTGGCCTCTCCTAGGCCCTATAGCATCTTCTAGGGCCTATAACACCGGCCGAATACTCCCGGTGCTCTAGGACCTAAGCCACATAGCACCGGGCGCCTCCTAAAACCACCAGCTTACCTTCAGTTACAGCAAAGGGTAGTATAAATATATTGAGATAGTTATATCTAGCAGGACCTAGCCGCACAGCAGGGGTCGAGAGTTTGTGTCTCCTGTCCAGATGCCCCTGATAACTTTAGCTGTGCACTATTAGATTTGATGTTCTACCTTGCGTCTATCTCGCCGAAGATGTCCTGCTATATGCGTCAGCAGCCATTGTGAGCTTCGCAAGGTTCTGCGTTGGCGTTACTGGAAGAGCTGATATGGCCTCGACCCATCGGAGTGGGCTGGAATT